TCAGCCTTCCTGCTCCTCTGATGCTGCTTGGCCTGCTGTGTTCATCCAGCTCTACACCTTGTTATCTCAGATTCTCCAGCATCTGCAGTTCCTACTATCTCTGATGTAGGGTAACATGCCTGATCAGGTTGGTTGGAAATACCTAGTTGACCACTCTGCTATTGACATCCACCTGAATATCACAGTCACCTGAATGAACAGATGACACAGATAAATTCCCATCCTATGATTTGGATTGTGCTAAAACGCAGTCAAACTTTTGGGCCCATTAATTTTTTTTTTAAATATATAACATGCCTGCCTATCCAACCCAACCAAATTCTGATTTAAGATGAACAATGACAAGGACAATTTGTCAATTTATATAAGTTGCCAATTTAATGCCAGCAAAGAGAGCAAGAAAACACATGAATTGTTCCTACTTTTAAGTTTCAATGACCGGTTGATGAATGTAGATTAAACCACAATGCTGCCATTCTCCTGCACCTGAATCTCATTCAGCTACAGACCTTTGTTCCGGAGTTAATCGTGCTGTTTAAAGTTTTACAGGCAGTCCCCTATAGAAACAATCATCAGGGGCTGGAAGTTGGAAAGGATGAATTGTGACTCCTACCGTCTTTAAGGAGAGAAAGAAATTTGAGTGTATAAGGCAAATATGAAAAGATTTTGTGACAGACAGATGACAGACAAGCACAGACAGAAGGTAAGGGCCTTTTAATGCCTTCTATAAGTGTTACTGATTATTTAACACGCTGTCATATTAATCATATTTGGTGTTTTGCCTGTTTGGGTTGATCTTCACTCTACACTGTCACCACTGCTATGTCTCCTATGTCTCATTTTTAATTGATGCACAATCCTTGTTAAGTTACAACATCAATCGTTGAGCAGAATTGTTTGCGGAACAGTCTTTTTACAGAATATACTGTTAATCAGTTGTACTTTAGAAACCTAGTTAAAGTTAAATCTATTTTCCAAAAATAGATAAAACATTACTTACTAAAAATCATATGATTGGTGAACCACATGAGCACTAAAATGTTGGAAAATCCAACACAATCTCCTTCAGCTTCTTGACATCCCTAATTTCTAATTATTTTTGGCCAGCATTTAATGCAGATGTCGTGTCCCACTCCCAACCAGAAGGTTGGGAGCAAGCCCATCTCCATGAAATCATGACCAAATGTTATGGTTGAAAGACAATTAGATGCCTGACAATTATGCTGTCCACCCTTCTTGTGAGTGGATGTTCCATCTCTAAGAGCTGACCATCAGGTCAGCCCTTCAAGCCAAGCAGGACCAACGGAAGCAGTGGCCACTTCTTGGACTGCAGTCATCAACCAGGGGCAGCGCTGGATGCCAGAGAAGCAGTAGATTAGGGCTGGCATTCCCAGGATAGACAGACCTCAGTGAGCGGAGGGTGGGGTGAGATGGGAAGTGATCAGGAGGCCAGAAGGGTGATCAAGTAGGCCACACTTTCCACTGGGTATATCCTCCATGCTGTATAGGATGACAAAATCGGAGGCCCATCCCCCCAGTCAGGTTATACCCTGGTGGCATATCCATGTAGAACAACTACTGTTGGTAAAATACCATTGGTGTTGGGATGAGCACTTACATAACCTTAATTCATTAATAATTTATTCTCCTACACTTCCAAAAAAATTATCTTCTACATTCTTGTTTTTTTTCTGATATCAACACTAACATACGCTTGTGCACATGATATAAAACACCCGTGATCAAATGTCTTTCGTTGTACAATTAACTCATCCCAATTTCATTAGGCAATTTTCAGCATAAATGAAAATGAATAATTAGCCTCATATATATTACAAACATCTCTCTATAGACCAATCTAGATTCCTTCTTTGTTCTCAAGTTTGTTTATGCATCCATACTAATGGCAATAGAACATATTCATGGATCACCATATGTGCCTATAAAGCACAATTTCCCACTCTCTCACCCAACCTCCAGCCATCTGTTGTTCTACATATAAAACATATAACAGACAGAGCGTGGCAATCATTTATTTTTGATGAAAAATTGTTTACCTTTGAAGTCTTCATTGCACATTAACATTGTGTAATATTGACTTAAGCACTGCCACACATGTTTTAAATCCATTATTTACAGTCTTTACCTTTTGGCAGTTTGTCAAGTTCAACAATTACTGCACGGTGAAATCAATAACTTTAAGTATCTGCTTATAGACTGTGGCTCAGAATAAAGAAAAGTATACTATGTAGAAAGTCTTACATTGTCAGTGTTGTCTTTTTTTCCCCTTAATAATGATATAACACTCCGTATATCGGTGACTCACAATAAAGAGATCCACAGGTTCTCAATATGGTTTTATATACTTCAATTCTACGTACCTCACTTTTCAGTTTGCTTCCTGAAAACCTATGAATAATGAAAAATATTATTAATACAATTATCTTATTAAACCTATTAAGTTGGTCTTATAAATTTGATATTTAAAATGGTGCTCATTCAGCCCCTTCAAAGATGCTTGCTGCATTTCCCAGGAGGGATGGGTGGATCATCCTCACTGCCACACTGAAAATTACCCACGCCTCACTTCTTTTCTTCCACACCACAAATTCGTTTTCCGGATTGTATGATGTTCCGTAATTGAGTTGCATTCAGTACATAAAGAAATGCCCCCATGGAAATTGTCCAAAAAAACCTTTTCAACAGCATTATTAATTCCTGAATACAAATCTGTTGGTTAATGAGATTCAGGAACCGGGAAAGGACGGCATTGAGGTTTGACCAACATTTATCAACAGGTCATTGAAGTTTAAAGGTATCAGCATTTTCTTTTACATATAAATAAAACATTTTCAATGAAGATACATTCTTAAAGTCTGTGGAACATGTAAGGGCATTTTTCTACATTAAGTGCACATAACAAATGTGAGTTTTTGTTGTTGTTGCTATTGTTGTAAATAAATAGAGCAGCATATAGATTATAAACTGCCCGATGAATCCATTGTACAAGTCCTCATGCAGAAACCAATTGTTTATTGCTGTCATTTGAGTAAGGGCACATATAGAGCGTGAGGGACATTTTGCTTGAGTTAGACATGAGCTGTGTGTATTGGTCAATTTGGTTCAAATTGGGAACTTGTTGCAGATAAGGTTGCAAGGAGAAGGTGATTTTTGTTCTTCCACTCTTTCTCTATAAGTTCATTCTTTCGTAAGAAATTGCTATTAAATGCTATTAGACTGTCTTTACATTGCTGTAAAGTAGGAAACTATATTGTCTTTAAAGAAGTAGCTTTACTTGGACTTGACTGAGAAACACCAGGAATAAGGAAAATTCAGGGCCAATATAATATAAGTAATCCAAAGTGGAATAAAATTAAGGGGGTTAAGATTGCCAATTCAGCTCATTTGAGGGGAATGCGTGGCTAATAATATGTGGAAGATCATGACCCTTCCAATATCATAGATGTGGAGATGCTGGTGTTAGACTGGGGTAGACAGGGTCAAAAATCACATATCACCCAGTTATATCCATCAGTTTTATTTGAAAATACAAGCTTTCAGAGCTCAGCTCTTTCCTTGGGCATAGAGGTAACACTTCAGGGGTCAAGGACATTGAGCCTCCAATCTTGGGTAAGCGTCCTCCAAAGTGGAGATACGCAACAACGCAAAATCACTGAGCAGAGGCTGGTAGCCAAGTTCCATACTCATGAGGATGGCCTCAATCATGACTTTGGGTTCATGTCACATTACAGGTGACCCCACCACACTATATACTCCCACACACACAATTACACAGACACACACACACACACACACACACACACACACAGACACACACACTCACACACTTAGACCCTCTCTCACACACACACTCTCTCAAGCACACATACTCGCGCACACTCTATCTCTTTCTCTCTCTCTTTCTCTCTCACACACACATACGCGCAGACACACACTCACCCACTTACATAGACCCTCTTTCTCACACATGCACTCCTTCAAACTCACACTCTCTCAAGCACACACACATGCACACACTCTATCTCTTTCTCTCTCTCTCTTTCTCTCTCTCTCACACACACCCATACATTCACACCCACACACACATGGACACAGACACATGAATTATTTCATCCAAGTTGTTTGTGTAATGGCAGATACATTCTGTTTGCTCAAAAAAAAAGCTGACCCTAGTTTAAAACATAGATTCTAAGCAAGACCTCACACCGAAAATGCATTGTCTGACCTGAAATGTCACCTCTTGTATATATTGATAAAACCTTTGAATATATCAGGACAATGACTTGAGAGAAATCTGGATTTTGCATTTTAATCAGTAGTCTCCTACCTAACTGATTAAAGATTCAACAAACAGCTGCCAATTTTAGAATTCTTAACTTTCTCCTTATAAATTCTGTGTCTTATACACTCACTCTCACACCACGCCTGAGGAAGGAGCCGAGCTTTGAAAGCTTGTGTTTTCAAATAAACCTGTTGGACTTTAACCTTGTGTTGTGTGATTTTTTGACGATATCCTAGGTGACCACAAATGCAGCAAGTGCTGCAAGCTGCAGAAATTTAAGCTCCAACTAGACTCACTGTAGTGCGTCCATGAGGCTGTGAGTTACATGTATAGCACATTCAGAGAGGTGGTTACACCGCAGCATAAGGGCTTGGAGACAGAAAGGTAACCATCAAGAAGTCCAAGAGAAACAGGTGGGCGGATCAGGGATCCCTGGAGTTTTCCATTTTGGAAGCTCATCGGGGTGTTGGTTCCTCGAGGGAGTGCAATAGATGTTTGTGGCACAATGAGCAGCTTGGCTGTACAGGAGGACAAAGAGGAAAAACAATACTGATTGGAGATTCAATAGTTAGGGGAAATAACAAGTGTTTTTGTGGCCATAGATATGACTCCAGAATAATATGCTGGCTCCTTGGTGCCAGGGTCAAGGATGTCACAGAGTGATTGCTCCTTCTAGGAGTAGGTGAACAGCCAGTCATTGTCCATGTTGGTACCAATGACTTAAGTAGGAAGTGGTCCTGCAAACAGTATTTAGGGAGGTGGTAGAAAAATAGCAAGCAGGGCCTCAAATGTAATAATCTCCAAATTACTCCTAATGCCATATGCAATTAAGTCCGTAAATAGAAGGATAAAGCAGATGAATGTGTGGATGGAAAAATGGTACAGGAGGAAGGACTTTAGATTACTGGGACTGGCTCATAGGAAGATGACACTAGTACAGCCGGATGTGTTACACTTTACCAATGTTCCCTCTAAGCTATATGGCTTTGCACATACAAAGCAACTCTAATGTTCCATGCAGGCATGCCGATCATAGCACCCAGTTCCACAAATCACCGTTGTGCATGGCCCTCAAGGTCCATGCAACTGATAAGAAAATTCGAGGGAATGCTGCACTTGAACACAGCTAGGACTAAGTTTTTTTTTCAGGCCAGCACTGTTGGGAGATCTTTAAACTAACTTGACAGGGATATGGGAAGTAAGACAGCATATGAGACAAGAATACCAGGGTTCACAAAATACTTGGACAGACAAATATCACTAGCACGGAGAATAGTAAATTAATTGAGGAAATCAGAATAAGGGAGAAAGTAAAGAAGTCTAAGCCAGGTCACTGCACATATATGTGAATTCATGGAGTATAGTGAATAAGATTGGGGAGTTGCAGACAGTGATTGCTATGTGGAAAATATTATGCTTCGGTAATAACAGAGACCTGACTTAAGGAAAGGCAGGTCTGCATACAAGATGTTCAGAAAATATAGAAAAGGAAGGAATGGACGAGGGGTGGCAGTATTGGTTAAGGAGGGCATTATATTGCTGGAAAAAAGAGGCAGTCTGAAAGGGTTCACAGCCAGAATATGATTGGTTAAAGGTAAGGAATTAAAAAAAGGATTCAGTCACATTGCTCATTGTATTCTATGGACGACCAACCAGTGGAAAAGTTGTAGAGGAACAAGTCTGCAGGGAAATTACAGAGCGATACCAATATTATAGAATGGCTATCATGGGGGACCTTAGTTACACAAATATACCCTGCAGCAAAAGTGACGTATGGGACAGCAAGAGATAGAGTTCCTAAATTGAGTCCAGGAGAATTCCCTACAGCAGTATGTGTCCACCAACAAGAAAGGATACATTGTTGGTTCTGATCCTCGAAAATAAGGTGGGCCAAGTGGATCAAACATCAGTGAGGAACATTCAAAGAACACTGATCATTGTTATTTAAGGTTTAGGAGTGTAGTGATACTGGTTAATCTAGAATAAGTAGAATCAATTGGTAGAGAGCCGAATTCACTGGGGCAAGAACAGAGCCGGGCAGAATGAAAGATTAGTGGGAAAATCATAACTGAGCAATGGGCCCCCTTCAAAGAGGAGATGGTTCAGATACAATCAATGTATTTTCCGTCAAAAGGGCAAGGTAAGACAAACAAGTCCAGAGCTCCCTTCGTGACAAATGGGATAGAATTAAGATATGGAAAATAAAATGTGCTTATGACAAATATCAGGTAGAAAGTGTATTTGAGAACCTAGATGAATACAGAAGATTCAGAGGGGAAGTAGAAAAAGTATGTTGAGAAGCAAAGGGAAACTATGAGAAAAGACTGGCACCCAAATATTGGGGAATCTCAAAGCTTTCTAACGACATATAAATAGTAAAAGGGTGGCAAATGAATTAAGGCTGATTAGGACCTATAAAAGAGATTTAAGAATGGAGGCAGAGATACGGGTGAGTTGTTAAATGAATGCTCTGTGCCCACCTTTACAAAGGAGGTAGATGCTACTCAGGCCATGGTGAAAAGAGGAGGAAACTTTGTCACCAGTAGTGTTCAAAATTGATAAAGGAAGATGATTAGACTGACTGTTCGTGCTTCAAGTGGTAACAAAAAGTGTTGTTGAGGGTAATGCTGTTGATCTGGTGTACATGGATTTCCAGAACATGTTCAATACAGTGGCACTCAATGGACTTGTGAGAAAGCTCACGGCTTATGGACTAAAAGGGAAAGTAGTAATGTGGATACAAAGTTTGCTGGGAGATTAGAAACAGAGAGAAATAGTCAATGGATATTTTTCAGGATAGAAGAATGCTTGTAGTGGAGTTTTTTTTCAGGAATCAGAATTAGAGCCATTGTTTCTCCTGATATATGTTAATGATCTAGATTTGGTGTATAGGGGACAATTATAAAGTCTGTGGATGATTCAATTTGTGGAAGCATTGTAAACTGTGAAGAATACAGGGTAGAACTTCATAAAGACATAGACCAGTTAGTGGAGTGGGCAGATAAATAGCAGATGTAGTCCAATGCAGAGAAGTGTGAGGTGATGCCTTTGGTAGGAAGAACATGGACAGAAAATATAACATAAGAATACAAATCTAAAGGCTTTGCAGGAGCAGAGTGACCTGGGTGTGTACATGCACAGATCATGAAGTAGTAGGACAGAACAGTTAATAAAGCCTACAGTATTCTGGGCTTTATTAATAGCACCATTGAATGTAAGAGCAAGGAGATGATGCCGAACCTATATTCGACATTGATGGGTCTAAACTAAAGTGTTGTGTATAGTCTGGGTGACACACTATAGGTAGAAAGTGAATGCATTGGAGAGAGTACAGAGATATTTTCAAGAATAATTCTCATAATTGAGAAACTTCAATGATTAGGATAAAATGGATGGGTTGTAACTGTACTCCTTGGACAGAAGAAACCTAAGAGATCTGACAGACGTTTTCAAAATCAAGAGAGAATAGATTAAGTAGAGAGACATCGTTTCTACTCATGAAAGGATCAAGAATGAGAGTGCACAAATATAAGGTGTTTTGCACAAGGAGAAAATGCGAAGGAAGAAAAACACAAGTGATTCGCATCTGGAACAAACTGCGTGGATGTGTGTTGGAGGCAAGTTCAATTTAGACATTCAAGACAGCATGATTATTTAAAGCAAAGAATGTAGAAGGTATGGAGATAAGGCACAAAATTGGCACTAGTTTATGAGGCTCATTTGAGATTTGGTGCAGATGTGATGGGCTGAATGGTCTCTTGTGCTTGAGCACTTCTGAGATTCTGTGAAAACACTAATACTAGGGCACTTCAATTAGTCACAAGTGATTCAAAACCACTCAAGGAGGTATTTTACCTTGCTTGATTTTCACAGACTGTAATATAAATTTCAATTTAACTGTTTCTATTCTCACTGGTTAAGTTGGTAAAGTTCAATAGAACAAGAAGTCTCACATTCAATTCTCAGATGGTACTAAGTGGTTGATCTCATACAGAGCTATAACAGAAATGCTACAAATGGTCTTAAATGTCTGGACCAAGGAGAGAGAAATCAGCTAGATTTGTTACTCCTGATGACAAGCTTTGGACTTTGGTAGAAAGTTTGTATTTGTAAATGACTCATGAGAACAGAAACACCCAAAAATCCACATGGGAAAAATAGGCTGTTAGCACTCGAAACTCACACAATTACCACTTCAGTGAGATCTCGGAGGGTACTTGTGAAACTATACGCCAATAAAGAGTAAACACATTCTTCAGAGTAGGAGATAAAAATGTAAAGATTGGAAAGTCAAGTGTACAATTTTACGTTTCAAGAAGATGCTAGTTGATCTGCTAGCCTTTATATTTTAATATTAGTTGAGCACTATCTAGGCTGTCAGTTATTCAATTACATTTAAAAAGTTAGCAAGTGAAACCGAGTATAGCATTTAAACACACACAGGTCTAGAACTTCGGAATCCCAGTGCTAGGCCACAGACAGTGAACCACATTGGCATTTGAAAATGTGATTTTACATGAGTTGGAGTCAAATTCAAAATGCTACAAGCCTGATGAAAGTACGATAATTGACTAGAAACTAATTCATAACTTTTATTTCAATAAATTTACCAGTTAGATGGTGAATCTGCTCTTCAGTTGAGAAATAGTATTCTGTCTGGATGACCAATTACATGAACAGTTGAGAGTACTAACATTGATGTACTTACAAGGAAGCCAGACAAACACATAAGAGAGGTAGAAATTTAAAAAAAAATTCTTGCAGGGCAAGATGAATGTGGGGGAAGATTTGTGCAGCATTAACACCAACACAGACCGTTGGCCACAATGGGCTGTTTCTGTGCAATGCACCTTATTTACAGCAATGTAGCAATGTAACTGTTCCAATTGCTGTTTATTATCACCACAAGCACCAAACAGCAACCAAGATTCACATTTGGTAGCTGCAGATTTAAAGCAACCTATTAGATACCCTGTGTTATTCGTGTCCAGAATGTTCCACCAATAACTGGGAATAGGTTTATTGCAGCTCAGAAACAGATTGCACTTTGTTTGATGTCACAGATATTGCACTAATCCTGTTAGCTTTCTCTTCAGCAAATATAATTTAAGTTAGGGCACAGCTGACTAATAAAGCCAGCTCCTGATTACACTAATAATTATTTTCAGCCAAGGAGGAAAAAAGATGTTATTATGACATAATAGAATAAATTTACCTTGTCAAGCCTTTACCCGAGTAGACTGAATGGTAATATGCACTGCTCTCTTTGATGCCAATTCCATAATAGTGATATCTGCAAGACAATGTCATGATTTTGAAGTTAATTTTGCTTTAACCCAATAAGGAAACAAGCTACTACAATATCCATCAAAATCAAGTGCTTACATGAAATCCTTTTCACCTGCGTGAATGCACACATTTTCACAACATGTTGGATTGGCATATAAGGAACTGGGACAGGTAACAAAGGTTTGCACTACAATTGTCAGGATTTAAAGGAAGTTCATTTTGACAGAAGCTGGTAACAAGATCAACAGTCTGATGTCATCTGATTTTAAGTAAGCTCCAGAAAATTGCTGCTAAGAAATCAGATGATACCTATCCAGAATGTTTCCAAGTTTGACAAGTCCAAAGTCTATATAATAAATAAAGTTGATACAATGACAACTAGAACTCACAAAACAGTGATATCTGACTGGCTTACTTTGAGTGTCCTCTTGTCCCAAGTCTTCTGGTGGTGAGAAGAGGAAACTTCTGGCGTATTGTCTGAAAGAAAAATCTAAAAGGTTATTTTTGAACATATAATATATATTAGAAAATCTGTGTTTCTTTGTATGATGTCTTTTCGAACGCTTGGGAACATTGCTTGCGTATCTTCATTACACAAAGCACTTACAAAAGTAGTGACCAGGTATAAGTTGTATGATTTTACGGTTCCATGATTCCATGATATTAAGCATATTAAAATTGTTAATATATTAATTCAAATTATCCAGTAAGGGATCAAACTGGAAGACGAGGTGAGTATGATAATATAGGACAAGTTTAGTTATGGATATAGCTGGTAATAAAAATGTTCCTTGAAAAGGGAGCATTGCCTTCATTCTTTGCTGACAGAGATCTCAGTGACTAAGCACGCCTCACCTTTCCAAAAGTGGCAGCGCAGGCTGGTTCCAGCTTCTCTTTCCTACAAAAATCTAAATAGTGGGCATAGAGAATACACCGGGGCAGACAGACTCCATCACACACGACGTAGTTTTCTTCCAACCTGACAATGGAGATGAGCAAGATGCGGTAATTAGGAACATTATCTACACATTGGGACAAATCTGACCCTTGACTAAAATGTGAACCGAAATCGTGGGCCTCAGCTTGTCTTTAGCAAATTCTTCGACAATATATCGGATTAAAGATTCAGTGTGGACTTGTAAAATCTAATTGCGATTTCGTGCACACAGAATGTTTATTACAGCAGCAGATCTAAGACAGGGTCCTCCAACTCCACACTGTGTTATCTCTGACTCCAGCATCTGTAGTTATTACTATCTCTATTCACCACAATAACATTGCGGTGTTAGATTCAGCTCAATTCCATGTCATGTCCTTACCACTGCAGCGTGAGCTGTGTCTGCTTTTTCTTGTCCTTGATGATCTGAGTTATAGTTTTTTTCTGACATTGTTGTTCCTCGCTTAGGAATGTTTTTCTTTCAGGAACATGGCCTTCCTCTTCTTCAGAGGATGCGATTTCGTTGCAGTTTTCTGATTCTGGGGGAAAGAGTGAGATTTTGAGGCGGACCTTCGGGTCTATCAACATTTATTTCTTTAATCGTTTATTATATCGAGTCCCGAGTCCATCGGCGTTTCAGACTTTGACGGTACAGTTTTGTAAAGGACAACAGTTTTCATTACTTGCCAATGTGCAGTTCCCCTTCACCCCCAAGGCCTCTATTGCCTTTTATGTTAGCATTCCAAATCTTTTCAAAAAAAAATCCCTAAAAGATCGATAAACATTGGTTCTATTCAAACAGAACAAATTGGGGTCACAAACTAAGATTCTGCATCTTCATGATGTATAATTCTTCAAAATCTTAAAGCCGAAGGTTAAAAATTAGCACCTTTTTGATTATTTTATCGGAACTGCACAGAATTATTTGAATTGTACCATTCCCGTGAATTATTATTTTAAACCACTTCAAGGAATCCCTCTAATTGGTCGGACAATATTTTGATTATTCTAAATATTAGCGCAATTACATATTGAGGCTTTAGCCTTCCTCTTATTATTTGTTACTATGCTAAATTTAATAATGATTGTGGGATGGAAACTCAATTAAAAGGGACCGCGACTTTAGACCCTGCACACTTGACCTCTGGTATTGGTAATGTCTGAATAATCCCTGTTCCCAACAGGTTCCTCGTGTGTAGGCAACAACGCAAATCTTTGTGGCAACCGACAGAATCCCACCTGATTTAATGCCCAGATCTGTCCCTATTTCCCCCTCTTCACAACCGGGCAATGAGTTCTTCTCTAGTTCCTCGCCGCCGCCGCAATTTTCCGCAAACGAAGCCAAGTGTTTGCCGATCAGAGTCATGTAGGGCTCGTCCTGAATGCCAGCCACCAGCTTGTGCGGGGGCTGCAGGTGAACCACAGATGAACCCTGAGACTCAGGGACTCTCTTCATGGGCATCTTCATGGCGAATGCCAGAGCGAGTAAGGGCTGTCAGTGTGCCTTTCACCCTCCCTCTTCAAACTGGAACCACTGGGATCAAATCATAATTCTATTTGAAAAGTCAGTGAATGGTCAGTCTGCGGAGAGATGGGTCCTCACAGTATCTGATGACAAACCCCTTAATCTGATTCTCAGTCTTTCCAATTGGATAGACACTTCGGGTTTTGATTCTACTCGCAGGCTCAACAGTTTGACATCACTGCAGTCAATGGCTGTACGAAAGCTCTTCAGGCGTCGTAAAGCATTCCCGTTTTTTTTTGATCCGAGGTTAACAAATCTATAAACCAGGGTACACACTTACAACAGCTATTTAAACTTTTCCGAGCCCGCCTATTTGTTTGTACACCACAGATATCAAAAACGAAGTCAGCTGTCACTAGCAGATGGGTGAATTTGGTCCTAAGAGCTCTTACTGTGAAGGTACCCAACACAATCCCTTGTTAAGTCAGCCCACAGTTACGTTCTGGTGATGAATCACGCTTGTTTACCATTTAAAGGAAATGTGGAGAGCAGATCCATCGCCCCCCTCTTCTCTCTCCGCCCCCCTCCCCAAAATTAATGATTAACTGAAGGGAACAATCATTTCTGATTGTGCCTTTCAGATTTGTGTTTATCATACGGTTTTATATCTGGCTGTAGATAGCTGAGCCCTTAGTACAAGGATAAAGAGTGGCTTAGAAAGAGTCAACAAATTGCTGACTTTTAAAACTTCCACAGAAACATTGTTAAAGGATAAAATGATGTTGTCTTTCATAGGAACAGTGTTCTGACCCAAGATTATCACAGATGGTAAATTATAGAACAAGCAACATACTTAGAATTCATTTCCTATCTTGCTAATCGATTTTGTATCTACTTTTCATCTTGTTTATTCCAGGTCCCTCCTATCCATCTGGCTCTATGATGTGTCACTGTTTTTTTCCCAAATACAATTTTGATTTCTGAAACCTGCTTTACTCCAAAATATTGCTTTTCTTTACTCCTCTAGTTTTTCATCTCTCCATCTTCAGCCTTAATTTTTGTTCTGTGATCAGATTATTTTGTCATCTCTTGGATCTTTAACTCTTTTATAATTATTGGTGCTAATCATGAGCAGAATCTCTGAACTTAATCCTTATTCGGACCTGTTTCTAGTCAAGGACTTAATTAAATGAATCTAGCATGATTCCTGTTGTTAACAGGATCTTGGCATCTACGTGGTCGGCAATTTAGGCATAGAAGTAGGCTATTCTGCTATGGTGTTTGCTTTGCCATTCTAGATCATGGCAGGTATTTCCTCAGTGCCATTTTCCTGCATTATTTCTTTATCCATTGATTTCATTGATGTCCATAAACCTTGCAATTTCTGTCCTGAACTTTCTCAATGTTGGAGCAAACTCAACTATTTCTTCATTGTTGCTGGGTCAAAATCCTGAAACTCTCTTTCTAACAGCACCGTGGATGTGTAAGTACCTCACCGTGGACCACAATGGTTCAAGAAAGTGGCTCACCACAACTTTTTCCAAGGCAATTAGGAATAAGCAATAAATGCTGGCCGAGCCAGCAAGAATAAAAAGAATCATACACGTTGCTACTTGGTGCTTAACTGTCATTCACGTTGAATCAATGTCATTACATTAATTGCCATGTTCTACTGTGGATTTGGAGGCAGGGGACCAGAACGTAGGTTAATGGACAAGGTTTATTTCCCTTCCACTACTGATTCTAGCTCGTATTGGGGTTGAAAATCCAGACCGAGGCACTTGGAATGTGTGTGAAAAGAACGGTGATTTTGGACCTATGGTTCGCTAAAATGTCTGGATTTTTTTTTTCTTTGCCTCATGTTTCACCTTGTTCCAGACTAACTGTTAGAAACTGATGAGTGTGATTAGTCAGAAAAGTAATGATTGCCATTGATAAGGTGGCAGAGGATGCAGAGCCATTATTAATGGGCTGAAGGGCAGGGAAATGGATTGGTGGAAGGAAGCAGTGAATGGGAGAGAGATGCAGTGACATGTGGGGGAATTGAGAAAGTACTACTTCCTTCTGAACTGTAAACTACAGAGATTGCATCAACAAAAAGATAACTGATTCTGAGCAAAGAAAATAAAACTTAACCTATTCTCAACTAGCATTCATCTATGTGGTCAATGAAGCTGCGGAGTCCACAGTTTTTCTGTTTTAAGTTGTTAAGTGAACTGCTATTTGTTTGTCTTGCCCTGGGCTGTCAACCTGACGGCTTGCGGGGAAGGGGAAACTGAATATATAAAGGGTGGATATGGTAAAGTGTAGATGGGAATGAGATACTGCAGAAGAGATATTCATCCATGGTCAGGAGGAGCCTAGCATCAAGCAGAAGGTAGTGTATGACCACACTTGGTATGGTGTCCCCATATGAAAAGGGCTGCAGTGGGGAAGGAGATGGTGTTAAGTGTTTAGGCACAAGTTCACATAGATGGGTTTGATGGGGACCTGGGGAGGTGCCTAGCCTAAGGAGTTCATGGGAAGGGCTATCAGGAATGGGACCTCACTGACTCACAGAGGCAGAGGTTAGAAGCTGTTGGCTGAAGAGCATAAACTGCCACCTTTCACCTTGCTGTGAACCAAAATGATGCAATGTGAAAGAAGATGGCTGAGATTGTACTCAGAGTAGTCAGGGTAAGTGTCTCAGCTTGTGAGGGAAGGGTTGCAAGCCCATTAAATGGCAAGAACATCATACACAGAGTCATGTACTGTCCAGGACATAGACCTGAATGCCCACTAATCTCAGGCAAAACTAATGCATTGGATCCCTCTGTGCTTTACACCTCACTGCCCTAGACATTGGTGGCCACTTCATTCACACCAACACTTTTGCATACAGTGGCCAGAGAAAGATTGGGCATGTTTGACCGTAAGGTGCCATCATAACCCATTGCCCTACATACACCTTGATCATCTAGTTTCCAGACTGCAGCATTGTCTCAACACAGACTTCAAGCCATGGTTTGTTCCGTAGGGACATAATGTTAGGCACCATGCTGGTGCAGTTACAGTCAGGACTACACAGAGATTCAAACAAACAGATGTAAGGCAAAACCAATAACCTTTACACCTATGCCACCAAAGTGTATTCAAAAGTTTTTTTGTTTCTTTCCCTCCCACTACATCTCAATGTTATCTCTGGTTCTGGGGTGGAGGAAGCTTGCTTGCAGTGGAACTCATTGGCCTCAGAGGTTGGGTCAGGCAACACCAGAGGTGTTTGTTCTGGATGGCCCAGACATGCCGAGGGCCTTCTTGCTGGAGGCAACTAGACCTTCCTTGGCTTCAACTTCTAAGGGTCAGTTGGGAGGCAGACAGGATGGAGGCCTGGCTCTCTCTGGAGTGCGCTGATAGGAAGTTGTGTGTGTGATTCCTCCTCTAGCTGGATGCCTCCTGGCACTGCCCTTTCATCATGTAAGAAATGGGCACCTGGAGTGCACACCAGGATCCCTGGCCCTGTCACCATGCCCTTAGTCATGAGGACCAATGGTTGGGACGAAGGAGTACAGGTGTTTGTGTGTATCCAACAGACCCTGAGGGTTCTGGTCCCGGTCTTCATGCCAGCCACCAACCTGTTCATTGAGGCAACCAGATGACGATATGCTTGAGGCAGCTGGGTTCCCATGGTGTAACTACACTCCTGCAGCCTCTGGTCTCACTGTCTGCCTCCTCTCTTCCTCCCAGTGCATTTAGAAAATATCCCTGATTGGTGACAAGACAGGCAGCTCTCCTGGAGCTGAGTGGTTACCTGATTCCTGGCCAGCCTCTGGGTGCCAGCAGCTTGTTCTCAGACACTTGCTGAGTTGTTGCTGTGAGGTGCTCACCAACTTGTGCTCCCAAACTTTCTTAATGCAATGCTTCCACTGAGATGTCAGCTTCTGAGCTGTTGGGTGTTACAGGATGCTTCCTCTGAACTCTCTTCGCCCGACAACAAGAAGGTGTTTTTGGCATTAAAAGCCATTTCTCTGGTGGGGCCATAGACATGGTACCTTCAAAGAGACAGAGGAACTCATGGTCAGTGATGAATGACACTCACCACAGGGTTGCTGCAAGAATTAAAGAGTAATGAGAAGTGGTATTTGCTCAGTTGGCCAGACATGGATGTCTCTGCATTCCCACTGGAGTGGTCCTGGTCTTCTTCTGTGAAGGCCAGAAATCCCTCCTCAGCCACCCCTCCACCTATACTGGTGCTTTCTGCCATGTTACAGTTTATATTCTGCTGGAATAAGAGGAAGAGACAGATTAGATGAGCTGAAAGTGGGTTTCACAACTGTTAGTGTTGGTGCAGTTGTAGGCTCCGCAAGTGCTAGTGGTATGGAAGACTGGGGAAACGAAAGACAGTGAGGGAAGCTGTTGCAGGCAACAGTGAGAGTGGTAGAGCATGAGCCTTGGTGCAAGGTGGATGCAGTAGCAGAATAGAATGTGAGGTAACAAAAACAGAAATTGCTGGGAAAGCTCAGCAGGTCTGGCAGCATCTGTGGAGAGAAATCAGAGTTAATGATTCAGGTCGAGAAGGATTCTGACGAAGAGTCACTCCACCCAAAACGTTAACTCTGATTTCTCTCCACAGATGCTGCCAGACCAGCTGAGCTTTTCCAACAATTTCTGTTTTTGTTTCTGATTCACAGTATCCACAGTTCTTTCGGTTTTTATATCGAGTGTGAGGTAACAGAGAGAAGAGTGTTGCACTTGCCCTGACAGAGCAGAGAAGGTTACTGACTTTCTCGTAGCACTGTTGACAGTTCCTCCAGACTCTGAAGACTGCAGTGATCTGGATGGTGACCTCGGACCAGGCTGCCAGCATCTGCTGATTTGGTCTCCTCTGCAGGTCCCCCAGGAAAAGGATGTCCCTCTTCTTCTTAATCCAAGTCCTTGACAGAGAATTGTGGTGTCATTTTACCATCCTCTGACATCTTCTAAATAACTGTCTATCACTTAGCAGGGCAGCTTCAGAATGCCAGTGT